CACCCTAATAATTAACGTCAATATTTCCCTTTAACGCTGGGTTGGAAGATTGTTTTTTATGGCAGTGAAATAGCTCAGTCGGTAGCGCGTTGGATTGTAGTCTGCTAGGCGATTAGGTTGATTCTCGTCAAAGTAAGAAAAATTCTGATGCCTGTGTCTGTGTTTTCGAGAGTTGGCGCGGTGTCGGCTATCACCCCTTAATACCTAATGTTCAAACGTCAATATTTCCCTGTAACGCTGGGTTTTTGGCAGTGAAATAGCTCAGGCGGTAATGAGATGGATTGTAGTCTGCTAGCCTATTAAGTGAACTCCTCAAGGTCTTTCAACCCCTAATACATAATCTCTACCCAACAATGAATGTTTATCTACAGTTAGTTGACATTTCATGAAAATTTATTCCATGCGAGAAAAAAGCGAGAAATAATCGTGTAGGAAGAAAGGGAGATAATTAATTCATAACAAGTTTTTTATAATTATCTTATAATCTATGATAGACCAGGAGGTCGTATAGTTATTGCTATAATTCTCATAATTTGTACTTTTATGGAATATCAATATCGAGGGATATAGGGCAGTGGGACAGGTCAAATGAGTCAAATGTTATACCAGCTATTTCCAACCTGGGCGTAATATAGTTTAGCTTAAAACTTTGGGACTATCATAATTTTTCGTTCTATTTAGTCAGGCCATATTCTCTCACATGAAAAAAATGGCAAGGTAAACCTAACAAAAATCAATTTTTAAGCCAAACCAAAACACTAAAATCCGGACAGTTAAGGCAGTCAATCAATTATAAGTCCTTGTGGCTTTTGCTATCCCATTAGGCATCGTAAATCAAACGCTTGTCCAGAATATCAATATCATGAGATTTAGGGTAGTGGGAGAGTCCAGTCAAAAGTCAATTGATTAGAAGTCCATGTGGCATTGTAAGTTTAACGCAGTTCAGTAGGAGTTGATTAATCAAGAGTCAAAACTTTTACGCCAGTCCAGGGTACCTCAATGCCAATATCATATAATAAAGGGCAGTAGGACAGTTCAGTTAGGGGCCAAGGTTGCCTTCTGCTTTGCCATTTACCAAAGAATCCACTCTAAGCAAGACAGGAATACAGATACCAACAGATGTCAGGCAGTTCAGTTTGGAGTCAACTGTTCAAGAATCAGAGCTATCATAATGGGCGCTGTAGGTTCAAATCCATATTTACATCAGACCAAAGTATCTATATACCATACCTAGACCATGAGATTTATGCCAACAGAATAGTTCAGTCAGGTGCTAGTTGTTCCACGTGGCTTTAACTGCTTTGCCATTAGGCTCGGCTGTTTTAGACAAGATTTCTGCAAGGGTTCAAATCTACACAATAAACAGTTAAAAATGACTATAAAGAAGTTAATAATTTGGCTGGTTTGAAAATCACATCACTTCCGTCCCATCTTCAACATTTACCTGCCACAGTGAAACATGGTAGAAAGATTAAATAGATTCGGATATATATAACCACCAAGTTATAACATTTCTTAAGACATTTCTATTTCAAACAGAATTTTCTCAGTCCTGTGTGTCTACTTCATTTACATTTCTTGATCTACTTGGAACTATTTATAATCCCTCGGCATCATTACTGACTTAATCTTTCATCAACTGGATTATTGAGACTGACTTAAGATAGTAAATCAGACGCTGGCATGTTAAAGGCCCATTCCACTTATTTTGTAAAATATTTTCAGTATCAAAAACTTCCGAAATTATACCTGAAAATATTTCTAAAGTATGCTATTTATATCTGTATTAAGGAACACTTTTCTTAGTGATATTGGTGTAAGCTTATAGTTTTCACAAATTTGAGCAAAATTTTTTTTCGACCCAAAATAAAAGCAGAAAATCCCCTTTAAGGGACTGTAAAGAGGTTTCCTAAACTTTTTATGATTCAGGATCACTGATAGAATCAATTTGCCCCATTCCAATTTCAATCAGTTGTCTGTAGTTCCTGCAATTCCACTAAAACTATGTTTTTTATGATGTCAAAATCGCAAAAGTTGATATTGATATATAAGGACTTTGAAATAAGTATATAGTTGTACAGATTGGACAATTAACTAAGCTCCTGTTTGCTGACGATTTCTGAACAGTTGGTAAATCGGAAAAAAAGGTTTGTAATGCCAGTAACTTACCCTCAGTGCGTTTGCCTGTTTTCTTAGCTCAATGAGGTGCAGAAAAACATGACAAGAAACTCATACGTGTGACAAATTAGTGATATGTTAAAAGCTGAAATAACGTCAGAAGAAATAAAAGGTTGCTATAGATTTCCAATAATGAAAAATGTTCCGAGTGTTAGGTTTTAAGTTATAAATGAAAAAAATATCAGAAAAGACACAAAAATCAATCTTAGCTTACTGCAAGATATAAAATGTGAGGAACTATTCAAAGGTTGAAGTCAGACTTGAAAATTATCACAACCCCTTGACTGAATGAAGTCCTTTGTTCATCAATTCAGAGAAATACCTAATGATATTCAGCCCCGTCTCCAGGAATGAACTGGTGCTGGGGCTCAGATTCTGCACTCAGAAAATTTGAGGAATAAAAGACCCGGAGAACTCATTTCCGACAATTTTGAGGCACCAACAATGTATCAAAATCTATATCATTTTGATTTTGTACAAAAACACTGTAAATGAGTCAATCTCTGCTGAACTGAAGAAGGTTTTGCTGTGACTTAATTCATGCTTGCTGGCGCCCAGCCCCCACCCTATTGAGATACTGTATGTTTGCGGGTATTAGGGTTGTGCGATATTGGTTTCAAGTTGATATCGCAATATTAAACATCACGTTATGTATATATCTCAATATTTCTTACAAAATGTTGTTGTTTTCTATCTAAAAAGTTTTATTGTAGTAAGAAAAATTAATAAATTCTCTAAAATCACCCCAGTCTTTAACATAATGAAAAAACATCTGTTTCAAATATTAAGTCACTTGTTAAAATTATGTAGATGATCTCCACAAAAAGTTGACGATATTCCATGATAATTACTATATATCACAATATGGCGATATGTTTGAATTAGCCAATATCACTAACAATATAAATTCCTATACTGGTATATATCACGATAGCAGTATATCATCCAACTCTAGTGAGTATAATATACAGTTTTTTACCCCAAAAAGGAGGCCCTTACAGACAGGATGCTCACTATGTATCCTTTTGTGATTGGCAATACCTAGCAAAAAATACTTCTTATTCTATACTGTCCACATTTCAACAGCAGGCAAGTGACATCTTGTGTTTTTAGCATGAGAAATTAGCTTCCAGGCTAATTCTTTGATCTTTGAAGTAAAATATTATTAGTCTATAATTAACATGTTTCAACATTCTGGTCGAAAGGCAATGAAGGTCAGTGATGACTTTGTTCTGTTGAGGGTCTTCTGACTTGTGATATTACTGTCTATTCTAAAGATGTTCTGAGCAAAAATACCAAGTCAAATAACATAAAAATAGTCGAAAGGTCAGTGATTGTGTACTTTTGACTTTGAAACCTGAAAATTAAATAAAAATTTCACGAAATGCCCTGCAGCGCTGCAAAGTTCACAGGTCTTTTGGTTATTCTAATCATAAGGAAATGATCATAAAATAACTTAAGTTTTCTGGATTTCTATTACACAATTCTATTATACTATGATTCTGTTGAATAGTCATGACACCAGGTGATTCCACTGATGAATATATACTCTTATAGGATTATCTTTATATTAGCTATTGTTTTGTGTGGTTGACACGCATTTATTCAATTTTCCAGCCAACCCTTGTCCTGATATACAACTATAACCACCATAGGGTAACAGTTTATTGTTTAAATAGAGAGATTCTAACATATATTTATGACACTAGGTAAGTCAACTGATGAATATATACCTTAATTGGACAAGTTCGAGAGTTAAAATTTAGGTTTATTCTAATTGGTAGTATTCCTTTAAATAATCAAGGTCACGCCTCTTTGACCCCTGACAATGATGAATGGAATATAAATTATAGAAACTACCAGCATCAAACAAGAAAACAACCAGATAAAACTATTGTATGAAGGATATAATTTATAATTAAACACCATATTGTTGTGAGAAATACAAAATATCAATACCAGAAAATAGGTTTGCTGGTTTTATTTATTAACTACGATGGGAAGGTTATGTGCTCAAAATAACAAAAACTATGGAAACAAATCTAGAAAAATATTTCCCTAAGCTGATAGTTTTAACCAATTAAATATCTTAAAATTATTATATTCTTGATGACACACTGAAAAGTTGATGAATAACTACGCTCGAAATAATATTATATTCCTAATGACAGTAACAGAACCACATTGAAACATTGAAAATAATAAATATTCTAGAAGTATCATTATATTCCTAATGACAGTAACAGAACCACATTGAAACATTGAAAATAATAAATATTCTAGAAGTATCATTATATTCCTAATGACAGTAACAGAACCACATTGAAACATTGAAAATAATAAATATTCTAGAAGTATCATTATATTCCTAATGACAGTAACAGAACCACATTGAAACATTGAAAATAATAAATATTCTAGAAGTATCATTATATGCCCATGACAGTAACAGAACCACATTGAAACATTGAAAATAATAAATATTCTAGAAGTATTATTATATTCCTAATGACAGTAACAGAACCACATTGAAACATTGAAAATAATAAATATTCTAGAAGTATCATTATATTCCTAATGACAGTAACAGAACCACATTGAAACATTGAAAATAATAAATATTCTAGAAGTATCATTATATTCCTGATGACAGTAACAGAACCACATTGAAACATTGAAAATAATAAATATTCTAGAAGTATCATTATATTCCTAATGACAGTAACAGAACCACATTGAAACATTGAAAAAAATAAATATTCTAGAAGTATCATTATATTCCTAATGACAGTAACAGAACCACATTGAAACATTGAAAATAATCAATATTCTAGAAGTATCATTATATTCCTAATGACAGTGACAGAACCACATTGAAACGTTGAAAGTAATAAATATTCTAGAAGTATCATTATATTCCTGATGACAGTAACAGAACCAAATTGAAACGTTGAAAATAATAAATATTCTAGAAGTATCATTATATTCCTAATGACAGTGACAGAACCACATTGAAACATTGAAAATAATAAATATTCTAGAAGTATCATTATATTCCTGATGACAGTGACAGAACCACATTGAAACGTTGAAAGTAATATATTATCTAGAAGTATCATTATATTCCTGATGACAGTGACAGAACCACATTGAAACATTGAAAATAATAAATATTCTAAAAGTATTATTATATTCCTGATGACAGTGACAGAACCACATTGAAACGTTGAAAATAATAAATATTCTAGAAGTATTATTATATTCCTAATGACAGTGACAGAACCACATTGAAACGTTGAAAATAATAAATATTCTAGAAGTATCATTATATTCCTGATGACAGTGACAGAACCACATTGAAACGTTGAAAATAATAAATATTCTAGAAGTATCATTATATTCCTAATGACAGTAACAGAACCACATTGAAACGTTGAAAATAATAAATATTCTAGAAGTATTATTATATTCCGATGACAGTGTGACGTGGAAAGTAATAAATATTCTAGAAGTACCGTATCATTATATTCTTCCTGTGAGAATCACATTGAAACATTGAAAAATAAATATTCTAGAAGTAAGTATCCATAATTATTATATTTATCTGTAACTTGTGTTTCTAATAGGCCACTGAAGGAATATTATACAGACCTTCTAGAATAATCACCATAATCCATTTTAAAACTCTGCTATTTCTGACACTAAATGACAATAAAAACTCAAGTGTGATCTATCTAGTTTTTATATCAAAAATTATTCTCAGATTGTCATTTTATCAGGCAATTATTTCCATATTTTAAACTTATTGTATTTTGTTTATCTAATTTTACACTGACAGTGGTGTTAGGTATAACCAGGTATAACCAGGTATAACCATGCAGCCACGATTTCGATACGAATCACAATTTAAGTTATATAAACAATGTTATGAGGAATTAAACAAGTAATAGCTGTATAATCTTTAAATGATATTTAGAAGTAGATAGAATATTTAATAAATGAAAACACTATTATAGATATACTACTCCTTCCTTTAATGATGCATCTTTATCACTCTGAGTCTCCTAAATATCATTCATTTCATACATCAATTAATATTTATATTAAATAAATAAAAACACTATTATAGATATACTACTCATTTCTTTAATGATGCATCTTTATCTCTCTGAGTCTCCTAAATATCATTCATTTCATACATCAATTAATATTTATATTAAATAAATGAAAACACTATTATAGATATACTACTCCTTTCTTTAATTTCTGCAACGTTTCAATTCACATACAGGAATCTTTATCAAGCATGATATAAGGAATACTTCGTCTTCAAAGTTCTAGTGACTTTTTTTAAAAATAGGCCTATAAATTTAAAAATACCAGAGTTATGCAATATAAAATAACTATAATCAATTGTTGATTGCATTTACTTTTGCAAATTCAATTTTCGATTTCTCCTGGAAACAATCATTAACTTATCATCGAATCCACCATCTCTACAAAGTTGAAAGTCAGGATTATTTCTGACTAAGATTTTGGAGAGAGAAGATTTAAATCCTGCTGACTATAATAAGTATATACATGTGTGACATTCAGCGTGAATGGATGTAGTAGAAATTGCTATGTACAGAATGACAGAACATGACTGATTGGAGAGTTGGTTGAGGCAAGGAAATAGAATTCAAACAAACAATAATTAAATCTCATCAAGGTCAAACATGTAGCAATCATAGATAATTCTATACCATATACAACAATACTGGCTGGATATATTGGTGTATCGATACTTGACGATAACTTTCATTCCATAAAATGTGGGAATTTGTATAAATTGGTGATTGGAATCAGAATTTTTTTACTTACTTGACTGAAATTGTTAGAAACTATTTAAAAGACAGTTGATGTTTACCACTTCTATCAACTATATTACCAAATATTACAGTTATAAAGTTATAAATTAATATACATTGAAACTTTCTCATCAGCCCCTTCATAATAGTGTCTGTAGGGGCTGGGCCCCAGCAAGTGAGAATTAAGCCCCAACAAAAACTTTTTCAGTTCAGCAGAGATTGATAACAGTGTCTTAGTACAAATCAAAAAGATATAGATTTTGATACGTTTTTGGCACCTCAATATTGTCAAATGAGTTCTCTCGGCCTTCAATTTTTCAAATCTTTCTGAGTACAAAATTTAAGCCCCTGCACCAATTCATTCCTGGTGACGGGACAGTTTCCTATTCGCCTATATAGTGACCCTTTTATCGTGGAATGACTGGCAATACCCAGCACTAATAAAAATAATAAAATATTTACTTTCTCTAGTATTTTATTTGTTTTAATGACCAGAATACCAATAATAAAGTTAATCTAATCAAGGTCAAACGACAATCAAGATAAACCATTAATGGACACTGTCATCAAAACTATCGGAACAAAGTATGAAACATTTTCAATTCTTTAATATCTATTTCATTTTTTCATGAATATCATCAATAATCTAATCAAGATAAACCATTCATAGACACAATATTCTCAAAACTATTGAAACAAATCAACAAACATTTACTTTTCTCTGGTATTTATAGTTTCCTTCAATGAATTATAAGGATTGTAAAGAGATTTTCTTAAAAATTTAAGATTATCGGGGACACTGATATTCCAATTTTCAGTCAGACGTCTTTGGTTCTTGCAATTCCACTATAACTAAGTAACTTGGTGGCCCCCAGTAGAAACACTATTAAGTTTGTAGTGTAGCAGGTTAGGGCTAGGGGGTCCAACATTCAGTCTTTTTTATTAATATAAAGTATAAACCTTTAAATGCTTGTCATTATCATACTCCTTTATCACAATACATACTAGTGGTCTGTAAATATGACTAGTTATTTAATCCCTTTTATTACATGGTGATGGTTAAAAACTCTATTCATATAAAAGGGATTGTAAAGAGGTTTCTTATTTTCTATGTTTATTAGGACCGCTGATAGCTTCGACTTGCACCATTCCAATTTCAACATTCTTCACAAATCTACTAGCTTCACACATTCAAAAGTAAATCAAATCTTAGAATGACTTTGTGCTTGTCAAAATAATGAAAAACAAATTAAAGTTTATATTGAAAACAATCATACTTCCTCTCAGAATTTTCAAATGAATTTAAGCGAAAATATCACAAATTATCTCATACAAAAACAATGGAAAAAATTCTCATTCAAAAAAATTATCAGCAAAATCTGATTTACCAGGGATAGTTGATATTTCATTACATTTCACTAGTTGCTTTTCAATAAAATTAAAAAAAAAACTGTTTCAACAAGAAACCTATTCCAATAAAATAATCCGTAATATTCAATTTAAAATTTACAGGAAGAAAAAAACAAGCACCACATTTCCACTTTTATTGCAATTTCTTGAAGCTAAGGCACTTAAACTTGACTTATTTCTTAAAGTGGCCAATAAAACTAGCAGGGAATTATGATTTCATTTCATTTCTGGTGGCACCAGCCTCCAGACCAAGAGTGGGGGTACAAATAGGGGGCAGACTGACTCAATAGGGGGACAACTGTCGAGGCTGAATACAAAAAGCTGCAGCTCTGGAGAAACGCTGATAGTTGATAGTCGCTAGAAAGTTTTTGAAAATTTGAATTGATTTGGAGCATTCTGACAGATATTTTGGGTCAAAAATTTATAAGAATAATATTTCTAAATCTGTTAGAAATATAGTAGGGGTACAATTAGGGGTGCAAACCATTGTTTTAGGAGGCAAATACCCCCACTGTTTCATTTTGATATTTTTGAAATATATAAGGCTTGCATTCATGATATTTCTTTTAGGCATTATTGAAAAATACCGATATAAAAGAAATATCTACTGGTGTTTTTAATCTGGTTGAAATAATACTGTCCTACTGAGTAGCCTATATTACATACAATGTAGGAATTAAAGACCCTATTCAACTCAACCCCTATTATATTCTCTAGGGCCCTATTCACTGATATAAACACACTAGTAGGCAACTAACAAACACATAAACATTGACGACAGATTACTGTATTTCATTTGAATTTCATTATTTTGTTAAATGAAATTTCATCTTCTAATATCTACATTAAAAGACTCATTTTGATAAGATTCTATAGGTGTTAAAAACAGGCAGTTTTGTGGGAGATAAAGTCCCTTGGTTTAGGGCATTAGTCAACAAAATTTTGGCAAATCACTATCACTATTAACTGACTGCATAGGTAATAAAACAAACATAAATATTGACATTCTACTACAATTCCATAATCATATTACAACTTTATCAAGATACAGAATCTGTGAAAATTGAAAAGAGAACGTTTATACCTCATGGACTTTATGGACAAATTGGAAAGTGAAGGTTACCTCACTCCAAGAACACTCCAAGAAAAATTAGATTCGAAGAGGCATATAAAACTAGTAAAATTTGGAAAGAGGTTGCATCACATCTATGTTTGGTCCGGTATGTATAAAGTAAGTACCAGGATGTGTTGGCTACTATATAACAGGATAACTTGGCGTTGCATGTCTCTATTCCAAGCATGAATGCTTGTAAACTAAACTTAGTAAGGACCAGGATTACTGACAATAAAACAGGCATCATGCGTGCATGCTTCGAAATCACTACAAATCACAAGAAATTAAAACATAGAAAAAAACAAAATAAACTGTCTTACCTCGGAAACTGACTTTACAGAGTCGATTTTCTCTTCCACGAAGACTTTCGATGTATTTAAGATGTAAAATTAAAGCCATGTTGATTTCGTCAATACGCTAATCCGTTTAAAATTCAACCTCACGTATCATTTTGACCATTTTGGAATATTTTTTTTACTTCTTAGGCTCAATCTTGTTCTATTTCTGTCATTTTCAAATGTTTTCTGGCTTTAAAATATTTTCTTTCATTGGTTGTCACTTGGTAATTTTCTTCCAAAATTTCAATTGACAATTTGTTGTTTTTGTTAACAATTTAAATAGATTTCTAATTGATTCACTATCTTACTTTAGAGTTTCTGCTTCAAGCATTTTTCAGATTCTTCTCCATTTTAAAACAATACCACAAATTTGACCACAGAACTCTCAAAGAACTTGTCTCTGTTATTCAAATACAAAATCACTGAGTTATGACAAAAATTTTTGACCTGTTTTTTTTTTTATGATAATGTTTTTAATGTTATCCACCTTTATTACTAAAACTTTGAAATTTAATCTCAAATATTGGATAAAATTACATCTCAAAACAAAACATCCACAGTTCACTGGCCTCAGACAGATAAATAACTGAATGACAACATTCACAAATTATAAAATAACACTTTTATCAGTTGTCAGTGAATTTTAATCCAATTTTAAGTCCAAGTTGAAGTGAGCACAGTTTTGAAAAAGTCACCGAGAGGAGACACATCAGATTTCACCAATGTACAGTCCAATAACAACTCAGTGAGTGAGCTTCAGGTTTCATGTGAATTGTCCCCAACTGTAGAAT